TAAGGTCCGTCCAGAATTACCGTGGCCCACCCAAAAGTGAAAACCTGGCGCTGTGCCTGTTATAAACCTCTGCAAATTGTTGTTCTTCACTTTATCAAACTCAGACTTTGTACAGCTTCTGTCAAGATGTAAAATTATGAATTCAGTCGAGCTCTTCCGTCCCTCCCTCTCCTGCTCTCCTTGAAACCCGACATCGGCTGTCAGAAGAGGGAGGGGAAGAAGGAGATGAGGCAAACAGAGTGAGTGCGACTAAAGAAACCAGACTGGTGTGGAGGTGAGCAAACAGCTGGAAAAGTGTGGGTGTTGAATCTCCCACGGGTGCGACGCCCATGCAGTACCGGCTGCTGTCACCTGGTTGTGAGCAGCTCTCTGCTGTCTGAGGGTAGGCCCCGCCCACAACTCCGCGGCTGCTGCGGTGTTTTCTTTACTGTGGGAAACGGGTAATAATGGCTCTTTGATGGGAACAGGTTGCCGACCCCTGGTATAAGATCTGAGCTGGTAAAACAAAAATCCTCAGCAGCAGGCTTTTTTGAAAGTGGGGGGGACACAGCTGCCAATCACAAATTTTGCCGGGGACATGTCCCCGGCGTCCCCGGTTAAAATGACGCCTATGGCTGACCCAAAGGGGGGTCCCTTTGATGTTGTGAAACACCTGCCGCTTTTTACCGGGAGACTATCCAAAGACTGGCTTGTCGCGCTGAGGACGCTGTTTTGTCGGCTCCAGTACCAGAGGAGGGTCCGTGGACCTGGCAGCCTGATCTGTACGGGAGTCTCACTGACGGGTAATGTAGAACGGCACAGATAGCGTCTCATGTGGTTTTCTGACCAAGGTTCAAACGTTGATCATTTAGGAGCAAAACATCATCTCCCACTCAGACTCACTTCTCCCGAACGGAGGTTCTGAACTGACATCACACCAACACACACTCCATCTCACCTTCCATTCCATCAACATCCATCACGAGAGTTAGTCCTGTTAAACTGTTTAAATCATTTCGATAATAAATTTTTCTTAAACGTTTGGAGGTCTCTCTCTCCCTCTTCTCTTGTCTCTCAGTTCATGCAAAGTGTATTAAATTTCCCTGTAATAAAAAGAACCACTCTTCTGATTTAAAAAGCCCAGTGTCCAGAGATGGGGTCCATACTAAATATGGATCATTAATATCTCTGGTCATTAATTAAAATGTAATTCTTTATCATCCATTACAATCGTGAATAGTTTTGTACACACAGAAGCAGATTAAAAGGTATAAGTTTGCTCTTATTGGAAAGCGGAAACAAGCAGCATGAATGTAGTGTGTGTAATGTGAAGTTATGATGTGATGCATTTCTGAAATCAGGTGTTTTATGGTAAACCTTCTCAGTGGTTGAGTGTGTTCCCTGGGACTGGGAGATCGAGGTTCAGATCCCAGTTAGGTCATGCCAAAGACTTTAAAAATGCAACCCAATGCCTCCCTGCTTGACACTCAGCTTTAAAGGTTTGGATTGGGGGGTTAAACCACCAAATAGTTCCTGAGCGCAGCCACAGCGTGTGATGAAGACCAATGGGACTTAAAATGTGCTGTATCTATCCACAGTTTTCCTATGACCCATGAGGCTTTGCACAAAAGATGAGAGCAACTTTCGACCAGCATTCGTTTACATTGAGACAATGTGATCCCGTTGCGCGAATCCTCTTTTTATGGGTTTTAGAGACGGAAAACATGTCTAAACACCAGCTATCACAGCTCAAACGGGACACCGTTACACTAATTCTGCCTACTGCACCAGAGCGGTGGGGGAATGATCTTAAAATGTGGCCAAAAATAACCTACAGTAACTAAATAGTAACAAGGATGGTCGTGTTTTGTTGAAAAAGGTGGAGCTTCATCTTATTTACTTAAAAGCAGATGTAGAGCCAGGTCAGAGCCTTAAATCCCTCATCACCTAGCCTGGGTTTTAGTTTTAGTTTCTACATCAATTTGCAGGATGGCACTTTTAGGTTAACAACGGCAGTTTAAACCCACATTACATTATAATTGTTCAGAAAACTGTACACATGAAATCATACCTGTTGTTCTTGTGGGAATGCTGTCAAATCGCTTCACTACTCGGCCTCTCTTCTTCAGAGGTTTGTCCAACAACAAAGTACGATGCAGGTGTTACTCTCTGGGTTTTTCACAACAAAATGAAACAAACACACAAATAAAGTTTGCAACGGTTTCCAAGTTGAGGAGCTTGGCTCTCTCGTTCTCTATGACCGTAGAAAGTGTTTCCCACTTTGACCTTGGGGCTTCTAGTCCACTCTGCACGGATGTTCCTATACACTTATATAAGCACTATATATAGGATGGCTTGGCAGGACACAGATTCTGGTCTTTCCATCAAAATCAACAATGACATTTTTTATTATAGAACCATCTTTTTGTGAGACCGTTTTTACCTACAGAAAGTCAAATTGATCTACAACTTGCATACATTCATTTATGGTGCTTGTCATTTAACGGAATGGCCTTGGAAAGGCTGTGTACACACAATAGGCTTTAATGTATAATGGGATTTTTCCTTACATCCGCTCGTGCACATGAAAAACAAGACTACTTTTTACTTACAATTAAGCAAACAAATGTAGTTTCTTTATTTTACCACAACCAGCTGTTTGCAACTGAATAAAAATACAAACATTAAAGACAATCAAAGCAAATGTTGTTCAGAAAAAAGAAAAGAAACATTTTCAAGGAAACAAAGAGTTCAGTTTTATAAGTTGCACTACAAATAGCGCAATCCAAATACTTAAGCATCGGTGAATTGTTTTAATGTTTCGTTTCAAGCAGGAGAATCAAAAAGACAAAAAAATGTTAATTTTCTCACATTGTAGTTTTTCCTTTTGCATCCAAACTTTACAGTTAAAAAAATCTCTAAAGCAAGCAATAAAAACCAAAATTAGCTCTGTTGTTAAAATCAATCCACAAATAAAAATGTCATTAAATACAAGAGGAGCACTCCTATTGTTTGTGCAGCATACTTTTAAACACCAAACTAGTTTAGACTAAAGCTAAATTAAGCTTTTATTGTTTAGTCACTGAATAAAACAAATAATCAAAATTTTGTATTTTTTCAAACAACAGGAAAACACTGACATGATCTGCAAATGTAAAGATGGGACACTGATTTAGGAGGGCAAAAACAGATGTGTTGATACAAATGCATCATAAAAATAAATAACAGAAAAAGTTTTTAAAATGACCTGTTAGTAATTAATCTGACTCCAGCGTTTGTAATAGCTAAAGTTTAAATAAGCTAAAGAAGAAATGTGAACACTGCATTTTAAAACTAAGATATAGTAAAAATTAACATCAGATTTCAGTTTTTTAAAATAAATTCATCCACATTTATCCTCTGTAACCCCAGTCAACAGACTCATCTTCTCCACGACTTTACTCTAACATGAAAGGCTCCAATGAAAATAAAACACCTGTTTCTTCAGCTCCATCTGCAGCAACATCATCTGACCCTCATGTGAGAAGAAAATGCTGTACTCCCTTGCTCTTGCATCAGCGCCCCACACTGACAGAAGGAATGATTCTGCTGATTACACTGATTAGGTGGATGTTAATCACTCCAACCTGCCGCTCTAGTTCTGCAACTTCTGGCTTAAATTCATGCTTTTCTTTCTAAAACTTGAACGTGAGCATTCTTTAACATAAACATATGACATTAGATGGAACTATCCTGTTTCAGTCAGGTCACTCTTTAGATAATCGAATTTCTAATCCTGTTTTATTTTTGCAATGACTGAAACGATGCAGAACAGGCACTGAATGATACATCCAACAGCCTCGCTCAGTCAAACAGCATCAAAACAAAGCACAGAGCAAGGTGTCCACAGACATTTAAATATCAGAATATCTACAAACACATTTCATCTTTGTGTTTTTATGTTCCCAGCCTGTTTGTACAGGCTTTATTTAAGATAATGGTGTTTTAAGTGTGTTTCTGTATAATTAATCTAACTTACCTGTCATGTAGAACTTCATGAAGAGCCAGTAATTAAAAATAAACACTTTTTCTTCCTACAAGACTGATGGGCTAAAGGCTAGTAATGCTTCCATCCATCCATCCATTGTCTGCACCTGCTTGTCCACGTAGGGTCGTGGGGGTGGGGGGGTGGGGGGGCTGGTGCCTATCTCCAGCGGTCAATGGGCAATCAGGCAGGGTACACCCTGGACAGAGAGCCAGTCCATCGCAGGGCAACACAGAGACACACAGGACAAACATTTATGCACACACACTCACACCTAAGGACAATTTAAGCCCCATTCCCATCTGTACCGGGTCGGCCCGGGCCGGGTAGCGTAGGTTGTTTACATATCTGGGTGGCCTGGTATTTTTCCGGGCCAACCAAGGCTCATTCTTGGCCCTCTTCCCGAGGGGTACTGCTTCAGGCCGACCAGGGCCAACACACCCACTGCTGACAGCAATTCACACCTTCCATTAGAGCAAGCCTCTGATTGGTGGGTAGAATCAGCCCATTCACACCTTCCATTAGAGCAATCCTCTGATTGGTGGGTAGAATCAGCCCACATGGGCATAAGGCAAGGATGTGTGGAATCAACCGGGCCAGGCTGGGGCCGACTGGGGCTACCCGGCCCGGGCCGACCCGGTACAGATGGGAATGGGGCTTTAGACAGACCAATTAACCTAACAGTCATGTTTTTGGACTGTGGGACGAAGCCGGTGTACCCGGAGAAAACCCACGCATGCACAGGGAGAACATGCAAACTCCATGCAGAAAGATCCCAGGCCGGGAAGCAAACCCAGGACCTTCTCGCTGCAAGGCAACAGCTCTTACCACTGCGCCACTGTGCAACCCGCTAGTGATTTTGCCAGACTTAACTGCTTGACGTAGTGCTAAATAATCAGAGAACTCCATGCACAAAAAAAACATGATCTGATGTCATGGTGGTGCAAAAGCGTGTTTAACGGGTACTTAAAGTGGATCTAAACTATTTAACTAAATCTGCTGTGGTGTCGACTCGACTCAAACTTTATTTATATAGCACCTTACAGACACACCAAAGTGCTTCACAGACACAGATTAAAACATAACACATAAAATCCACTAAAAATGATAAAACACAACCAAATTTAAAAGCCAGTTCATAAAAATAGGTCTTCATCAGTCATTCTCTGTGGAAAAAAGGTCTTGTACTCCTGTTTCAGGTACATAGTAGAAGTTAGTCCAAGGTGGGGGTGGAAAACGACAGGGTTTGGAGTCTTAAGCCTAGTTTATGCTTCTGCATCAACGCCACAAGAGAGAGACGCACACGCGTTGATGGAGACCTTTTGCCTTCAAACTTCTCCATCACCTGGGGAGTGATGCAAAACAATTCCCCGCAAGGACAACAGAGGGAGTAATGCTTTTCTGGGGTATCCTGTCATGTATCTGGTCTAAAATAGTGCATTTACTATTGTACTTCAAATTTGTCCCTCATTCTCCTCCACCTCTTCATGCACTCGCCACCTCTAAACCCACATTTTCTGTCATTTCCATCCACAAATAAAAGGCTTACTGCATATCTTTATAGTTCTCCAGTCACGGCTAAATAAAACTTTCAGATTTTTAGTGATTTCGCACAAGATTTTCTTCAAGCTGCTCTGTGTCTACCGCTAGATATCGCCCGCTCTTGTTAGTTTTTGAGGGAGCAATGGCGGTGCTGTTGATGAATTTAAAGGAAACATCACCCTAACCAATCACAAGCTTCTGCTCTCCATCTCTTTGGACGGATATTTAGAAGAGGAGTCGACTCCCTCCTTCCTCGCGAGCCTGTTGCGTCTCCGGACCGACGCAGACGCATAAACTAGGCTTAAGTCATTATTATTATTATCTCAACTCTGACTGGCTAATAGCAACAGCATCTTCTTCTGTCAATAACACACATCTGAAAGAGTTCTGCAATGTTGGGCATTGCAAAGGCTAAAGGTTAGCGCCTACAGGCCAGGAAATGCTCTTCTCTCTCCTGGATGCTAAATCAGCACAGCTTTTCCTGGTTGTAAACCAAGATGGGTGAGTCTATGAATGCAAATTTACAGTGTGACGTAGATCTGTGTGGCCTTTTCTGACCTCAGTGTTTCCTTTCCTGTTTTGATTTTGGCAGCTAACGCAGGAAATAGGTGTAGAGTGAGATAGTGTTTCAAAAAGAACAAATACGTTTCTCTGTGAACCGAGCCAAGCATGGACGTTTCCCCGGCTCATCAGACCTGTTGGGTGAAAATGCTAGTTTTCTAAATAGAGGCATCATATAGTAATTAATTTCTAATGACTTTTAAACAAAAACGCACCTTCAGCTGTTTGTCACTAAAACAGGATCAAATCTGTGAGTTTCTATTGAAAGACACAGAACATTTTTTATCCGTGGTTTTGGCTGATTGGCTGAATCAGTCGCAGATTGTTTTTCAAATAGACAGATAGTCCCAGATGGATCAATGGCTTGTAGGGTCGTTGCAGTCTAGCTTTTCTTTCTCTGCAATTTTCTGTTTCTGCTGAGACAATCTGCCACATGGAGCCGCACGTGAAGATGCAAATGTTGGATGTTCTGTGGACTTTACTTTGCCTACAGATCGAGACAGACAGTAGCCGGAGCATGATGATTTTGCTCTGCGTTTTTGGTCTAGCCACACTCCATAGGAGCCTCAGCAGGTCAGCTGTTGGCCTGGGCAGTATTGTGTCATGCCAATCACAGCGTTCTGTCAGTTTGGTGGGTGGGATGATGTGACTGAGAGTTACTTAAGTCCTTTATTAAGAAAAAGGATGCATTTCCATTGACTGACATTCGCACCAGTCCAATGAAGGCACTCCATCGATTTGGTGGGCGAGATATTACTGCAACCAAGCAAAAGTAAGATGGCGATGGCTTGTTTGTTACGGCTTTGGTGTCAACTTTGAACTATTTAGACTTGGGCTTTGCTTTCCTTTATTTTGAAAAAAGATGTTTTTCTGCAGAGTATGGCCGACTGCCCCTCTGACTGAAATCTGTAGAAGTGAGAATCTCATATATGTCACATGCAGAGATGGTTTGAAAGACAATTGTACATCTCACCTCACAACCAAGCTCTATCTATGGGTTGTGACCAGTCTATAGCCCCTTCCACACTAGAGCCAGCTGCACTCCACTCCGTGCAGTCAGCCCCAGTCCACCCCAGCCTGGCCAGGTTGACTATACACATCCTTCCACACATCCTTAGGAATGCAGACATGACTGAGTATATTGGCGGTCTCAAAAATTGGTGCAAAGATATCAGTGATGTCATGAGTGAACACGTAGGCAGGACAAAGATGCGTGGAGAAGTCCACAGTGTCTATCCTTAAATTAAACAAAGGTGGCTGTGAGAAGTGTTGCTTTTGGAGACTCCTGCTTTCAGAAACATCCTGCTCTGCTGTGTCTGTCCTGGTGCAGCTCAAGCTGCTGTCTGTGTGTGTGTGCCTCAGGAAGAGGCTTTGATTCCTCCTCAGTATCGAGAATGGTAATGAACCGCGCATGCGGAAAGCCCCTGCTGGCTGATTCTATCCATCAATCAGAGGCTCTCCCTAATGGTAAGTGTGAATTTGAGCCGGCCATTCAGTAGGCATTGGGTGTGTTGGACCAGTTCAGCCCAACACAGACCGCCTTGGGAAGAGGGCCGAAAAACAACTAGTAACGCACGAAAAAAATCCAGGCTATGCGGATGTGAACACTCCCGAACATATCCAGGTGGCATTGAGCTGGCACTAGTGTGGAAGCCCCACATATATTCGTATAAACAGGATGGTTTGTCAGGCTACTCCCAACAAGCAAAGATTTAGCAGAGCAGAAATTATTCAGCAATGTGCAACACATTCTAAAAAAAACCTTCAACATAATTGTACTGTGGACAGTTTCATGTTGCTTTCAACTGTTGTGTAAAATTATCTGCACACATTTGAGTGGTGTAGAGTCTGTCATCCATGACATGATTTTGTTGAGTGTTTTGAAGCAACTGGACTTGTATTGTTATGTTGAAGACGTTTCACCTCTGAGAAGGCGTCGTCATCTGCATGTCCAGCACTGATGTGTATGCTTCTGGAGACTCATGAGTGGAAATAATTTATGATGTGCAGCTGAGGGTTCTCAGTTAACAAAAGTAAATGCATTCTTTCAGTAGCTTACAAAGGCTCCATTTGAGTATTTGTTGGGTTATTTTGTGCTCTATTGTATTTTTTGTTTTTTGAAGCTGTGTCATTTTGTGGCTTTCCTGAGCAGGTTTCTCAGGTGTACACTGCATCCTTTGGTCTTGTGTCAGTGACAGACATCCAAAAACATAAAAGAGTGAAACTTGAACTTCCTGTTGTACAGATAGAGTCCATTGCTGCTAAAACAACTGTTACAATCTGATTTGTGCGTCCCGTGTCAAACTGTGTCTTTAAAGTTAAAACAGACATAGGTTATTGTGTTAGCATTGTATCATGTTGAATGGATTAACTTATCAAGGTGTGTAATGGACATGGTAAGTTCTGAGAGCCTTGTAACAGCTAACACTTCTAAAAACAAGGTGAAAACAGTTTTCATGGGAAGGATTCATTAAACAAGATGAAGTCATTAAAAAAGTTCTTCTGTGTCAAACATGATGACATTAAAAACAGAGATGTGCTCGCACGCGCCCCTGCAGTCATACACACTCATTTCTGACGTGATTACATGAGTAAGATAAATTGTATCTACAGCAGGCAGGCTACATTAAGACTAACAATGTTTACTTCATGTCAGATTGATAGAAAATCATTTTAAGTTCCTCATTTGCTTCCGCTAAAAGCAGCTAGGGTACACAGGTTTTAGCTAGGCTAATGCTTCTTCAGAGAGCACTGTCACTGCTGCAAAAACCTAAAGTTTCAGATCATTTACATTTACGAGACTACAAATCCACCAACAAAGAATGCAGGTATCAAAATGTGTATAAATTTGAAATTCCTGCAAAAAACACATTTCAAAAAAGGTTACAACAGCCATCAAATGATTTACGGTAGTGGGTTGATGTGTGATGTAAGTAACAAGTCCTTGAATCTGGTTATTTTGTGTATTGAGATGAGACATACATAGATAGTTTAATTTTTTATTTTTACTATTTTAACATGATTTTTTATAAATACAGATTGCCAACTCTGCTCCTGCAGTTTAGACGGTGCAGGGTTTGTTTCAGGAGGACCGATGCCACAGAGAATCCAGTCCAGTCCAGGTGAAATGAGCAGAGCTCGTGTGGAACAGTACAATCAATCCTACTCACCCAACTCTAAAGCAAACCCACTCGTGCCTGATGATTTTGTACCATGACTCATGATGTCTCTCGGTCCAACAGAGCTCATTTTCATGTCACCAGTCAGACATTAGTGCAATTAGTTGAGGGAGGTAAATCCGCTTTGCTGCGGATCTCCTTGATGTCATTAAGCGGACACTCGCCGGTGCCAATCTGGCATTTGAAGACTTGCTTGTAGGCCTTCCTGAAGTTCTCCGACAGAAAGGCATAAATAACCGGGTTGACGGATGAGTTGCTGTATGCCAGGCAGTGGGCGACCACCCGCAGCACAAAGGAGGCCTGGTTCAACGGGAAAGTCCCGAACTCCACCCAGAGATGCACGACGTGGTGAGGGAGCCAAGACAGGCAGAACACCACCACCACCACCAGAACCGTCTGAGCAGTCTGGAAGACATGACGGATGAAACACAAGAGGTTTAGTCAGCGCTCTGCAGACACACAGGATTCATTCAGGCTGTGAGGATTATTTAGGAATAAGTATAGTAACTTGTAGAGCTTTTTTAATCCCCCACCCCCCATTTCAAATAATTCTTGTATAAAAATACGAGGTAATGGGCGGTGAACACCTGGAAACGTGGTATTCATGTAAAGAAAAAGTGGGTGAAAATACAAATATAAATCAGTTAAAATCAAATACTGTTAATTTGTGGCACACAGCTGCTGCCATTGAGTCAAAAGCAGAGATCCAAATGCTGTATTCATTTTCCCAGTAGACATATTCTGGTCTGACACCTGTGAGAAAAACAACTTGCCAACACTATGTGCTAACAGTTAGTGGATAAGAGTCCTTGGGTTTTGTAATGAGGCTGAAACACAGCTGCAAGCAGCAAAATCAAACCAGAGCAGCAAGCTGAAGATAAAAACATGAGCTGCAGAGCTGGGGGGGGAGGGGAGGATGGGGGGGTGGGGGGGTGGTGGTGGTGGTGGAACGACCTCCTGGTGGTTTTCTTACAATGAGCTCTCTCAGCCTGGTGTGAGAACAAATCTGGCAGCATCACCTAAATCACCATCATACTGATGTTTCAGTGAGCTGTATCAGATGCACTCTTCGAAATGATTCAATTAATCTCTTATCACAATCCGTCCACATCACACTACATTGTTATTTACTTACACAAAATATTTAAGGAAGGATGAACGCAGGTGAAAAAGTCACAAAAGTTACACTTAGCAGACATTTTTAGATGCCTCCAGTGATGCTCATTCACACAAATAACTGATCAGCCAATCACACGGCAGCAACTCAACTAGAGGCCGACCGATAAATCACCTGTGTGAACAACTGCTGCCACTACTAGACTGAAGAAAGGACTTGAAGGACCCCAACACGCCATTTTTTAAGTGTTTTGAGTTTGTTTTATATTTGAAGTTCAGTAAATATTAAGAGATTTATTGACTTATTTAATTTTTATTGCACATAGTGAGTGGTAAGTTGTCTTTCACAATCAATGTGATACTAAAACGTACATACATCGGCCTAAATAATCAGATTTAGATATCGGCTATCAGCAACAAACTTCTTTGAAAATTGGTATCACTCTTAAAAATCTTAGGTGTGTTCTTGCTGTGTCTTTGTAAATCCATGCTTTCGTTCTTTTTTAAACACAGAAACAGTTTTGTTTACCTGTTTGTAGCTACGGTTTCGCCGACAGCTGCCGGCTTCTTCAGGCTGACGCTGATGGTCACGCGTCACTTCCTTCTCCGTTTATCTGCGGGCAGCAGAGGACGTTGTCGCCCTCTACTGCCCGCTCTCCCCTCTCCGACGATGCAGTGCCATGCGTGGTCCAGCGTGTAAACTCCGTCGTCCCTGTTCATGGTCCCACATCCACGTCTCCTTATCTCTATTGCTTCCTTGATCCATCTTTTGTATTTTTGTTGTTCAGTGGTTATGATCCGTGTGCTGTCCCAGTCCATTATATGGTTTTCTCTTAAGCAATGATCTGTTACGGCTGACTTTTTTATTGTACTTTCTGCTTCTTCTTTTGCTGCTCTTGTGTGTTTATGATTTGCCTCTTTCTCGCACTCCTTTCTGTGTTCTATTGTCCGTGTATTGAGTTGGCGTCCGGTTTCTCCTATGTATGTTTTATTGCATATTTTGCATGGGATTTCGTAGATGACTCCACATTTTTGTCCAGCTGATATTTTGTCTTTTGGGTGTACTAATCTGTTTCTAACTGTTGTGTATGGCTTTGTTGGTGTGTTTATGTTGTGTTTTTTCATTGTTGCTCTTATTTTTTCCGTTATGCCTCTGATGTATGGTAGGGTTATCACTGGTTTTGGTTCTTGTCTTTCTGGGTTTCTGGTTCTTTTTTTGGGTTGTTCTTTGCTTTCTGTTTTTGTTTGTTGTTTTCCTTTGTTTATTGCCCATGTCGGGTATCTGCAGGTCTTTAAAGCGTGTTGTATGTGTTTGTCCTCTTGTTTACGGTCTCTCTCTTCTGTTATTATGTTTGCTCGGTGATATAATGTTCTGATTACTGGCATTTTGTGTATGGTGGGGTGTTCTGATGTCCATAATAAATATTGGTCTGTGTGTGTTGGTTTCCTGTATGTGTTTATGTTTAGGGTCCCGTCGGTCTGCCTGGTGATTTTCATGTCCATAAATGCTATGCTGCCTTCTGTTTCTAACTCATAAGTGAATTTTATGTTGCCCGTGTCGTCAATATTGTTTAAGTGTTGTGTTAGTGTTTCTGTTTGACCTTTTGGTATGATTTCCAGTATGTCGTCTACGTAGCGTTTCCATAGTTTTATTTTGCAGTTTGGGGGGGCGGTGGCTATGGCTTTTTGTTCCAGGTCTTCCATGAAAAACTCGCACAGGGTGGCTGATAACGGGTTACCCATGGCGAAGCCTTCCAGTTGTTTGTATATTGTGTTGTCGTATGTGAAGTAAGTGGAGTTAGCTACCAGTCCTATCAGTTGTGCTATGTCATCTGCTGTGAGGTTTGTCCTTTTATGTAAAGTTTTGTCTTGTCTGATTCTGTTAACTACTATGTCTATGGTTTTTTGGGTTGGTGTTTTTGTGAACAGAGATGTGACGTCATGTGAGATGAGTATGTCGTTGTCTTCTATTGTAATTTCCTTTAGTTCTTTTGCCAATTCTATGCTATTTTTGCAGTGTTGGTCTGTATTTCCTAATAACGGGCTGATGATTCTGCTGATATCTTTTGCCATGTTGTATGTTGGTGTACCTATGCTGTCAACTATTGGTCTAAGTGGGGTGTTTTGTTTATGTATTTTTGGTGTTCCATATATTTCTTGGTGTTATGTTTGCTGTGGGAATCCAGTGTTTGTACATTTTTTCTGTTATTTTGCCTTTTTCGTGCAGTGGCTTCAGTAATTTTTTCATGTTTTTCTTAATGTTTTCTGTTGGATCTTTTTTAAGTATTTCATATGTATTTTTGTCTTCTAGCATCTGTTTCATCTGTTGTTTATATTTTTCTCTGTCCATAACTACTGTGGTTCTTCCTTTATCTGCCAGTAGAATAATTATCTGTTAATTTTTGGATAAAGCTGTCATGGCTGATTGTTCTTCTTTTGTAATATTGCTGTGTTGAATTTGGCTGTTTTTTAATATCCCAACTACGTTATTTCTGAGTTCTGCTTTCTTTCCCTCATCTGTGATCTGTTGACATGCTAGTTCTGTTGCTACAATAAATTCATCATATGGTATTTCTTTTGGTGTGACTGCAAAGTTTAAACCTTTCTTTAATATGCTCTCTTCTGCTTCTGTTAGTTTGTATTGTGAAATGTTACATACCCATGAGTTTGGTGTGGAGTTGCCTTGTATTTCTCCCCTCTTTTTCTTGTTTATGAGTCTGTTTAACTTCTTTATGTTTCTTTCTTTCACTTTTATGAACTCTTGTTCCTGTTTTTCCATCATGTGTCCTTTAATTAGTTCCTCCATTTGTTTATCAAGTTTGTAATTCCTTTTCAAGTCCAGGTGTCCTCTTTCCAGTTCGTCCTCCACACGCCTCTGTTTGGTTATGACGTTCCTTATCCTCTCCTTGAGCAGTGCTCTCTGTGCTCTTTCTATTATATTTTGTGCTGTCTGGGTCCGGATCGATGTTTTCAGCTGTAGGCTTGTGGGTGTGATGTTTTCGTCCCGGCATCTTAAACAGAAGCGAAGGTGGTTTCTTAGACGTGCGCGTTTCTGGTGTAATCGTTCCAAACGGCGGAAGTCCTTCGTTCCTTGTTGTCCGTATTTCTCTTTGAACATCTTAGGTGTGTTCTTGCTGTGTCTTTGTAAATCTTCAGGCTGACGCTGACACCATCAGCGTCAGCCTGAAGAAGCCGGCAGCTGTCGGCGAAACCGTAGCTACAAACAGGTAAACAAAACTGTTTCTGTGTTTAAAAAAGAACGAAAGTATGGACTCTTAAAAAATACCACATCGGTCGGCCTCTAAACTCAACACATATACGCATCATGACTTGATAAAAAAACTGGTTTAAGTTCTGACCAGCAACAAAATGGAGGTAAGAGATCAAAGTATTGAAGAATGTGACATGGTTGTTGGTCAGATTTTTGTAGAAACAGCTGGTCTACTGGGATTTGAACCCACAACCATTTACAGAGATTTATCAGACTGGATCTAGATGACAGAAAGACAACAACAGATCAGAAAACCATTGGTTTGTACCAAGACCTGCAGAACCACAAAAGCAGCTCCAGATGGACTCCAGCTGCAGAAGACACCACCGGGTATCACTCCTGTCAGCTAAAAACAGAAAATTGAGGATCACCAGAACTGGACCAGGAGAGATTAAAAAAATAAAAATAAAAACGTTCCTTGTCTGATTAGTCTGGATTTCAATGCTTCAGCCTGCTGTTGGTGTAATGGTGGGGAAGATGTTCTTGTCCCATTTTGGACCCATCAGTACCACCTGAGCCTGGTTTAAACACAATAGCCTACCTGAGTATTGTTGCTGACCATGCCCATCCCTTTATGACCACAGTAGACCCATCTTATGATGGATACCTGCACCACGTGAGGTGTTATAGCTGGGTCCATTTTTTTTTTACACAACGGAACAGCAAATTTTATACTGAAGGTTCTTTTGATTATTGGCTTGGAGATTTGAGCACCAATTACCTGCATGAGAACATCTACATGAACTCGTAGATGCCCCCATGGGCGGTGAAGAGCATAATAAAGTCGCCACCATATTGGGTGGGTCCCTTACTCTCCAAACCCAACAGGAGTCAGTGCAGAGTGAGAACCTATGCTTGTTTTTTGTTGCAACATCCAGCGCACTATTGAAGATCATGATGGTATTTCAATGATAAATGATCCACACTTGTATAGCACCTCTCAGAGTAAGGCCTCCAAATTGCTTTACACCACAGAGCATCATTCATCTATTCACACACTGATGATGATGAACTACGA